AAGGACATACAAAGTCTCCTCTGTCATAAAAAAAAAATCTACCAGTCAGCATTTTTTTGAAACAGGAGTTTAGTTCTCCTTTAAATACAAGTGAACTTTGGCAAACATTTTTAGTAGTAACCATTCTGCTGGAGAGTCTCCCCTCGAAGTCTAACTCCATGTTTCATTCTACACCCATATTTAGGGTGTAACAAGAAAAACATGGTCTCTCACACCATACCCATACACTGTACTCATGCACTCTTGTAGTCCAGCCGCACGTCCTGTACAGACCTGAGACCGGAAATAAACTGGGGACTGATGCTCATGGAGGAGGAATATAGAGAGGAGCTGGGGTGAACCTGGTGGAGGAGTAAAGGAGGAATCTAGAGAAGAGTGGAAGGAAGGATGATGGAGGAGTGAAGGAGGGTTGTGAAGAAGAGCAAGATGAAGCTGGCGAAGGAGGAGGCATTTGAAGAAGAATGGGAGGAAGCTGGCGAAGGAGGAGGCATGTGAAGAAGACTGGAATGGAACTGGTGAAGGAGGAATGGGAAGAAGAGTGGGATGGAACTGGTGAAGAAGAGTGGGATGGAACTGGTGAAGAAGAGTGGGATAGAACTGGTGAAGAAGAGTGGGATAGAACTGGTGAATGAGGGAAGTGGAGAAAACTGGGATGGAACTGGTGAAGAAGGGATGTGAATAAGAGTGGGATGGAACTGGTGAAGAAGAGTGGGATGGAACTGGTGAAGAAGGGATGTGGAGAAGACTGGGATGGAACTGGTAAAGAAGGGATGTGAATAACAGTGGGATGGAACTGGTGAAGAAGAGTGGGATGGAACTGGTGAAGAAGGGATGTGGAGAAGACTGGGAGGGAACTGGTGAAGAAGGGATGTGAATAAGAGTGGGATGGAACTGGTGAAGAAGAGTTGGATGGAACTGGTGAAGAAGGGATGTGAAGAAAACTGGGATGGAACTGGTAAAGAAGGGATGTGAATAAGAGTGGGATGGAACTGGTGAAGAGTGGGATGGAACTGGTGAAGAGTGGGATGGAACTGGTGAAGAAGGGATGTGAAGAAGAGTGGGATGGAACTGGTGAAGAAGAGTGGGATGGAACTGGTGAAGAAGAGTGGGATGGAACTGGTGAAGAAGGGATGTGGAGAAGACTGGGAGGGAACTGGTGCAGTGGGGATGTTGAGTACAGTGGGATGAAGCTAGTGAAGGAAGGATGTGGAGAAGAGTGGGATGGAACTGGTGAAGAAGGGGGAGGGGGGATGGAGAAGAGTGGGATGAAGGAGGGATGTGGAGAAGAGTGGTATTAAGCTGGTGGAGCACTGAAGAAGGGATGTGAAGAGTGGGATGGAACTTGTAAAAGAGGGATGTGGAGTAGAGTGGGATGAAGCTAGTGAAGGAAGGATGTGGAGAAGAGTGGAAGGAAGCAATGAAGGGGGTGTGGAGAAGAGTGGAAGCCCTCCAGAGAGCCCTCGCACAGCCCTCCAGAGAGCCCGCGCACAGCACTCCAGAGCGCCAGCGCACAGCCCTCCAGAGAGCCCGCGCACAGAACTCCAGAGAGCCCGCGCACAGCCCTCCAGAGAGCTCGCGCACAGCTAGGGTTGCCACCTTTTCTTCAAGCGAAACACGAACACTCCAGCAACGCACAGTCATTTTTGTCGGAGAATGAGTCGTGGCTTGTTCAAATGTAAAAAGTGCCGCCCATTCATATGTAAATATCAGTTGAGACTATTTTCAGTGGGGGCCAGTAGCCATATTGTAATTTTGGTTGCCCCTGTCTGCCTGACATCTCGTGTCCGGGTTTCTGCTGCCATGAAACCCGAACACAGCATTCAAAACCCGAACTGTCCGGGTGAATCCTGGACAGGTGGCAACCCTACGCACAGCCCTCCAGAGAGCCCGCGCACAGCCCTCCAAAGAGCCCGCGCACAGCCCTCCAAAGAGCCCGCGCACAGCCCTCCAGAGAGCCCGCACACAGCCCTCGGGTATCAATGTGCTCTCCTGGAACATGTAGCTTCATAAAATTGTGTATTGCTGGGATTTGTAGTCTACTATAGCCGGTCTCCTTACTCCCTCCACTGGCTCCCTTTCCTCTATATTCTCCAAAAAAATTGAATTGCTGTGCGGCGCTAGTGTTGGGGTTTCACTTGAAGAAAAGGTGGCACCGCGTCTGAGGTTACCAGTTCTACATGAATTCGATCATTTTAGGTGCATGCAACGATGATGATCATATCACTGCGTGTGTGTTTGTGTGACATGGCGCCTAGTAGAAAGGATGGAAGTAAAATGGAATGAACAGGTCCTGGCCTCTGTTTGTGTCATTGGGCCTGTGTGACTGAGGTGAAGGGGGCGGGGGTCAGTCTGCTCGGACTTGTAGTGTTAAAGTTAAAATGATCCAGAGCAGTAACACAAGATGTACAGACTGAAATCCCCCCCTCCCCCTGTCCCAGCTCAGCGTGTAATGTGAGCAGACGTGACATCTCACTATCACCTCTCCGGCCTCTGTCGCCATGACAGAGCTTTCAGAGACGCCGAAGTCCGAGCACTCCCTTTCCCGCCACACACACAGCTGAACGCATTCTCCCCGCCCCCTTCTCCATGGCAACAGCATCTCTCTCAGAACAGCTCAATACAGCAGACGTTTTTCGGTTGTCGCCTTTCCTATTGGTTGTTACCACAGAGAGAACTCCGCCCCCAGCTAATGTGTTTCCAAGCTCCGTGTCCCGCTCTCCCCCGGAACCTTTCCCTCCTCTCCTCTTGTTTCCCGCCGTTGCTATAGGGAATGTTGATTAAGCTGCACCCATTCAATGGGATGGCGGTGAGAAGGGTTCGTTTGAGGGAGAGCTGGGTGTGCGAAAGAGCCGGGCTGCAGCCGGCGGGGGCAGGTAACGCAAGCAACACCCAGAGTAACAATACTAATATTGTAGAGCGAATGCCATGATGCAACCCATAGCAACCACCCATAGAGGACTCCTGTAATAAAATATCCCATAGCAACAATCCATAGAGGGCTCCTGTAATAAAATATCCCATAGCAACCATCCATGGAGGGCTTATGTAAAAATGTTTCCCATAGCAACCATCAATAGAGGGCTGCTGTGATCATATGTCCCATAGCAACCATCCATAGAGGGTTTCTGTAAAAAAAAATTCCCATAGCAACCATTTATAGAGTGCTTCTGTCTAATAATTTTATCCAAGGCAACTGTCTGTGGTAGGGTTCTGTAATGATAATGTTCACTAAAGCAACCATCCATAAGAGCTGCTACGTTATTAAAAATGTATACATAGAATCCAAAGTGGTGTACAGGTGTCATTCATTTATCCACTCCCTTGTCATCTCTCTCTATTGCAACTCCCTCCTCATTGGCCAACCTCTACACAGGCTGCTCCCCCTTCAGTCTATCATGAATTCTGCTGCTAGACTCATCAACCTAACCAACCGCTCAGTGTCTGCAACCCCCCCTCTGCCGATCCCTGCACTGGCTTCCAATAGCCCAAAGGATCAAATTCAAAATATTAACAGCCACCTTCAAAGCCATCCACAACTCCGCCCCCGCCTATAGCTCAAACCTGGTCTCAAAGTATCACCCTAACCATCCCCTCCGCTCTTCAAAAGACCTCCTGCTTTCCAGCTCCCTCGTCAACTCCTCCCATGCTCGCCTCCAGGACTTCTGTAGAGTCTCCACCATCCTGTGGAACTCTTTACCCCAACCTGTCCATCTATCTCCTACTCTGACTGCCTTTAGGCGATCCCTTAAGACTCATCTCTCCAGGGAAGCCTATCCCACCTCAACCTAACTACTGATCCATCATCTTCTCAAACAATTCATCCCCACATAGCTACCTCCTCATGTATTACTGGCCCCTCCCTTCTAGATTGTAAGCCCTCAGGGGCAGGGCCCTCCTTACCATCTTGTCTTGAATTGTATTGTGATTGTAATGTCTTCCTTATATTGTAAAGCGCTGCGCAAACTGCTGGCGCTATATAAATCCCTAATAATAATCTTACCGAAACATGTAAATATCTGCTGGTGCTTCGTGTGCATTATTTGTCTTCTAGCATGTACTGTACAGGCAGGGACTACACTGCAGCCTTCCAGCCCCCTCCAAGAACTACAACTCTCACCATTCCATGACTCGTAGTTGTGTAAGAGCTGAAGTCTGCTTTTCAAGCTAAATTCTTCCTGTTATTCACCGTCTTTGCAGGCACAGCGCAGTCTCTGGCACTACAAGGGACGTACAGAGAGAAAATTGTCAGCTTGGGGGATGCATTTAAAAATTTTAAAAGTCTCCGTTCCCTGGACTTGTCCAGAAACATCATAATCAGCTTGCAGGTAAGTTCACTGATTGACAACACCAGAGTCAGAGTTGTTCAGGTGAGGTTTCAGGTATTAACTATTTCCAGAGTTTTGAGAAATAAAAACCTTGGTGTTATTATATTATCATAAAGGAGGAGTATTGGGAGAGTAAAGTGTACCCTTCCCAATGCTTTGAGCTGGTGTGCGATACTGGAACTGTCACACGCCGGCTCTGTAGCTTGAGAATTGAGCGATCACGAACCACTGATTGCTCAGCTCAATCTTCTCCCTGCAGAGAGTGGTGTCAGACACTGCTCCACACAGGTATTCCCTACCCTCCCTCTATTTTTCCAGCGCTCATTGGAGGGACAGGCAGAGGAGAGGGGTGGATACCGTCAAAATTGTGGGGATCCTTCCTGGCCTGTAGTGATGGGCCAGGAAGCTGTCAGCGCGGAGTGCCAATCACAGGCACTGAGACATTTCCCAATCTCTGTAGCTGCAGACCGGGAACATGTCTCAGTGCCTGTGATTGGCCCTGCGGGCTCGGCATGAGGCGCTTGCGAACATGCCCGAGCCCATCACAACTGACCTGCAGCACAGCTCTGCGCTGTCAGCATATAGCGGGCGGTAGCTCGCTAGATGCTGACTTTGGATCACAGGAGGACATTAGTATATGTACTCTTTTAAACCAAAAGAGAAATAAAGCCAAAAAAGGTTTTGCTTTAGTTCTCTTTTAAGATGACCTGTACTGAGAGAACATGGAGCCTGCAGTTGCTGTCCTAGTGTTAATTACTAATTGCCTGGCTGTCATGCTGACTAAATTGCATGTTAAAGCAGTTTGCATATAATAAAAATGTAATTTTAATATCGTTTTCACAGGGAATAGAATATTTACACTCTCTTTATTACCTGAACTTATATTATAACGACATTGCATCGGTTGATGAGATAAAACATCTCAAACATTTGGCACAGCTGAAAACTCTGGATCTGCGTCTGAATCCAGTGACCAGACAAGATGCTGATTACCGTCTTTTTGTCATCCACATTGTTGGGACATTGGAAACACTAGGCGAGTACAAACCTGTGCTAGATAATTGTTTGGATATGTCTTAAAGAATATGTCCACTTTTGCTGAGAAAAAAAATAATAATTCCCCCCTGGATGGTCAATGTACATTACACGGATTTTAACAAACTTTGTTGCAATTCCTACCTGTTAATGTTCTAGAGATAAAGCTGTTTGTTGCAGCGTGTCCTTTCCAAAGTGGTTCCTGAATGGGAGGGTCTGGGTTCATTATAATCAGCTGGTGGACTTTCTATGTTCTAATGAGGAAAGGTGCCGTGTCGGCATTCCTTTAGTAACTAACCTATAGCCCTCATTCACACGGGTAACGGCTGCCCCGTACAGATCCGTGCGGCGTGCACGGCCGTATCGGGCAGCTCCCGGGAAGGACAGGTCCTGCGTGTGATTTGTACGCAACAGCCTGTCCTTCTCTATGGGAGTATGTGGCCATACGCCGCACTACGCTCACCTGACCTGCACGTTGGTGCAGGTGTCCGTACTCGTACGCGGACAGGATGGATCCTATCTGCGTCCGAGCAGGGACACCCGCACACGTACGGACGTGCAGGTCGGGTGAGCGTACGGCCGCATGCTCCCATAGAGAAGGACAGGCTGCTGGGTACAAATCACACACAGCACCCGTCCTTCCCGGGAACGGCCCGATACAGCTGTGCACGCAGCACGGATCTGTACGGGCCCGTGTGAATGAGGGCTTAGGGTCTATCTAACCATTGTCACAAACAATGAAATTCCTATACTCCATTATGTAGTATCAAATAATGATAAGTCAAATCTTTGCTGGTCTGATGTGGGACTGCGAACATGTAAGGGAATCACAAAAGGGTTAATTTCACAGTATTACATTACCTGAGTCCCTAGCAACCCAGTAACACCCGTTTTTTTTACTATAGCGAGCAAATAATTGTTTACAGGGCGGATTGCAACATTTCATTTAAACCTCCTCTACTGATCAGGTCGGTTCTGTGATTACTGATTTTCATGTTTTACTTCACTTGTTTGTATTAAAGTGTATGGATAACCAATTCCCTTTTTTTTTTTAGATAGAGGAGGACTAAGGCAATCAGATTTTCATTTGGTCTGTTTGATCCGCAATTCTTACCAACAACTATCTAGTGTAAGGGTCTAAATCAGGGGTAGGGAAATTCCGGCTCTCCAGCTGTCATGCAACTACAAATCCTATCGTGTATCTGCCTCTGTGAGTTACGCCTGTGCCTGTCAGAGTCTTGTAACCCTCATTGGATTTGTATTTGCACCACAGCTGTAGGGCCAATATTTGTCTACCCCTGGTCTATATGATTGGGTATAAATTGAATGAATTATTTCATTAAGCACTTGCACTGCATAGTTTTTGTTTACTCCTATGCAGATTATACAATCCGGTTGTATTATGTCTCTATAAAGCTGGCCATACATAGCCAGTCTGAACATTTTCGGGCCAACAGTGACTGCAGCTAGTCAGCTGCAGTCACTGTTCAGGTATGATGACAGCAGCACCCGAGCTGTCAGAATTCAAGAGTACAGTGGTGGAGGGGATTCCCCTTTCTACGCTGTTTAGCTTTTTACCTGTACCGTCTATGGCCAGCTTTAAGCGCATCTTTTGGTAAACCGATTTGTTTTAGGACCCAGTCACACCATATCAGGTGCAGTTCGAGCTCTGGGCACACTGGGTCACATAGATCAAGCTGGGGAGCGTTCTGGGGAAGGAGGGGGCGTGTCTGTGCCATTCATGTCAATGGCACCGCAGGCACGCCCCGCCCGCAGTGCAATCGCCCGCCCCAGATTGCAAGGTACAGGAATGCTCTCTGTTCCGATGCAGTGCGATCGGAAAAAATGCTGCATGGACTATTTTTTCCGATCGCACTGCACCATTCACAACAGATCCATTGCATTGTGTTATCATCCTTTCTTTAATGGATGGTAACGCAAGGGCAGCGGAAAATAAATGGGTGTATATGGGGGAAGTTCACACCACAGCATTGCATTGCGTTGACATGCATTGCGCTGATAGAAAAGTAAAGAATGCTCTACTTATTACAGCACAACGCAACACGCCATAAAAGCGTGCAAATGCACTGCAAAGCACAAAACCATTACAGTGAAGTATGTCCACTCAGAACATGATACCTCACATAAAGTTTGCCACAAAAAATTTTTACAAAATGGAATGCAACCGATTGGAAGGAAATCGGAAGGTAAGTCAATGGACCTTCAGTTGACTTGTGATTTCCCTTTACGATTTAGGTGTGAATGCACACTTATGTAAAGAGTAAAGATGTAAAGAGTTTTGAAGGGGTGCAAAGAGGATCGGATATTAAAAGTTACTGCATGGCACCAACTCTGATCGACGTGTATCTAGCACAGGGATGGTCAAATCCCAGGAGCCAGGTCGCCAATGCACCTTAAAAATTATAGCTGGTGCCCAACTTTTGAGGTTTAAAGGAGAACTATGAGGCGAGTGACAATCACTCAGCCGCATAGTTCTAGCCGACCTGTGACAATGAAACTGTCACACGACGGCTCAATAGATCGGGAAGTGGGCGAACGCATACCGTCGCTAGCTCATTTCTCGATCCTGTCCCTGCAGAGAGCCGTAACTGTCACTCACGGCTCCCTGCAGGGAATCCCCTGTCCGATCCTCCAGCGCTGACTGGCGGAACGGGAGGGGGCGGATACAGCTGGCTCTGCCTCTAGATAGGCAGAGGCAGCTGTCACTCACGCAGCTGGGTGGATCCAGACAGTAATGTTGGGATCCGTCCCGGCTGCTGTAGCTCGCGGTATACTGAGCTTTGGGTGACGGAAGGACGCTAGTTTGTGTCCTCCCGTTACCCTTAGGAGAACTATGGGGAAAAGCCCTGACCCCATAGTTCTCCTTTAAAAAAAAAAAAAAATCCTCCTGGATTGGACAGACTGGCTCTTGAATTCCATATTAATTTTTCCACCCGGGGCCCTAGCACAAGTAAGGTGCATTTCCTATTGGAATAGGTATAGCGAGAACATGTGAAATAGTTTTATTTGTAAAGGTTAGCGTCCTAACATCCCCCTGAGGGCTTTGGCGTGCCACTTTATTGTTTCCCCTGTAAAAGAGGATAAAGATTTTTCGGATACAAGGTGGTGAAATAGTTACTACAAACCAATCTTACCCACAGAGTGAGTATAAGGGAGGTCCAGCCTGCTCCCTGCCCAGGTTTCTGTTGTGTCCTGCCTAGGATGTTGCTATGGCTTCCTCAGGAGTTTGTTTGGCTTATGCAGGAAGTTTAAGTTTAGCCAACTGTCAGCAAGGCCCATTACTCCTCACCTCCGCAGCCATGCAGCAGCTCAGCTGAAACTAGGAGGGAGGTCGAAGCTGCATCTTTACACCACCAGCAACCAGCTTTAACTTTCAATATGTCGCTGTTTTCAGATGACAGGCCGGTGAGGGAGAGTGAGAGGAAAAACGCAACACTGAACTTCCAGTCGAAATCACGGGAGATGTTGGGGACAGAGTCTGGGAGGTGAGTCCTTATAGTCAGTAAGGTGTTCTTAGTTATAGAGTAAATCAAATATAATTGTCATGCATGTGAATAGAGCTACAGCTACAGATCTTTTTAGATCAGGGAAGTGGTTCTGCAGCTTGCTACTTGTTTGTATTTTACATATGCCTGCAGGGCTCTTTTAACCCCTTTTTTTTTTTTCGTGTTTGTTTTAATCCACATTTTAGGCCCTAAAAATACTTAAAACCCCAATAGTTATATATTCCCTGAAATCACGGATCCTTTAGAAACACCGAAATCCCATTATTTCCTATGGGTATGGTTCACACCTGGGCGTATTACAGGCCGTATGAACGCGCTACAAAACGTCCTACGCCCAAAGAAGTACAGGAGCTTCTTGGGGCAGTTTTTGTTGTGCGTTTCCATTGGGATACAGCCAAGTAGCCCTCGGAAACGCGCGTTTATCGCGCGTTTTTTTTACCACGACACGAAACACACGACAAACGCGCATATTCGATACGCCTAGGTGTGAACCCAGCCTTAGAATAAGATCATGGAAGTTGCAAATATTTACGGTGCATGATATTAACGCAGCTCATTATCAAACCCAAAATTTCAGTAAAAATTACACTTAAAGTCCCCCCCCACAGTGCTAAAGTAAGGACTTACCTTAAATGATGTCTCTTAATCCGATCTTCTTCTTTCCTGTAGTTTTTAGCTGTCCCTCCAGCGCTGGTGCGTGTCTCCGATCCAGCGCTGACTGCTTTGTCCTCCTCTTCACTCATGTCCCACGGTGTCTATGCGGGTGCATGCTGCTCCATATACTTACCTTGTGTCTCTCCTCGTCTCCCGGCCGAAGATCTGAACTGCGCATGCGCCCGCCCGCCCGAAGATCCTTTTTTTTTTTTTTTTATCATTTTGCATATATCTATTGCTTGCTAGCAGTAGATGTATGCAAAACAAATGAGGGTTTAATAACCCTTTAAGTTAATTTTAGTGCAGAAAACCACAATATAATACCCTTTTCTTAATAGAATTTATAAAGATGAGGTTGTGCGGAGTAAATAGATACCCAACATGCCAAGCTTAAAAATTGCGTCCACTTACAAGCCCCCTATGTGATCATTAGAACCCTACTGTCACCTTTCCACTGCAAAGAAGCTATTCAAATGCAGATTGCACTTGAATAGCTTCCTCTCTGGCTGCTCTCGTCGGGGAATGACAACTGAGAAACCGGTGCTTGCGCTATTTTTTACAATCGCAACGCACTGGAATGCAGGGCATTGAGCTGCCACACGTTCCTGTGTGGGTGATCGCACTGCAGGCGGGAGGAGTGTTTGCAGTGCCATTGAAATGAATGGCACTGCCATGCCCCCTCCTGCCCCAGAATACAAGGAGGGTCTAATTAAGCGGTCCAGTGCGGTCATGCCATGCGACTGTAAGATGAACGGACTGGATGGTGTGAATGTTTTTTTGGTATGTCATGGACACGGGAGGGGCTTAGTACAGCCATATTGTATTATGTTATGTAACAAGTTGAGGGATCATGCAAATGTATATATGTTTATGGATACACTGTAAAAAATATCAATTATAACTTGCTATTGCCCTTTTCACCTCTTTGACCAGCCCATCACGCAGTCATCTTTATGGGGACAGAGGCGGAGCTAAAGTTCACCTGGATTTTGGCTTGAGCAAAATGACTGGTAAAGTTTTTTGTTTTTTTAATTTAAAAAAATGGATTAAGCACACTCAGTATTTATTCTACTAATAAATAATACTTATTATTGCAGTGTTGGCATTCAGGTTTTGTATTAGTAAAACACTGCATTGTAGTCTGAATGGGGCACAAAGAAAACAATTGTTTCCTATCTGTGTTAGCGGTGACCTGCGTTGATCCGATGCAGTTCATCGCAGGTCACCGCAATAAATGTGAATGGGCCCTGACCATTAACCAGTAGTTCTCAACTTACAAGGTGTAGGGGGCCTCAAATGTGGCCCCTTGACCACTCCAAAAGGCTGCACATAATATTCAGTGTATGACAGAATACTATCAAAAACTTCAGAAATACTAGAGGAGATGGTCAGAGAGTTCAGACATGCAACACGTGTGGTTTGGGACTGAAGACACGCTACAGGAGATGACGGCTTGGGACATGCTACGTGAGAGTGCTAGATCACTGTCATTAGTGAATGAAGGCTTCCACTACTGACTGCTGGGATCTGCAAAAGGCCACACAACAAGTATCCACGGGCTATATGTGGCCCTTGGGCCATAGGCTTGGCACCAGGGACTTACACTGTGGTACTTGCATTCATGTTTATGAAATGTTTCACATTTTTTCTGCAGCTTTTATAATAGAAACCATCCTGACACACTGATAACTTTCTCTTTCAGAAATGGGCAAGATGAATATTCAGGAAGGGCATTCCAGAGATTACACTAAAGGCTCCTCTCCCTCGAAGTATCAGGTAAGCTTACTTTCTGTATAGAAGGCACAAATCCAGGCTTATACATCATAAGAAAAAGGTATTACTATAAAACCATATTTATTGGATCTCCATCTACATGAAATGTTGTTTCCATTTACAGTCTGAAGAGCACCAGTCCTACCTACAGCCACAAACCGACTTTGAAGATGGTATTGGTATAATATTTTGATATTTATCCAATTTGTTCTAATTTGGATTTCTGCATTAGATATGGGTTATTGGTTATGCCAGGCGTAGAACACAGAGGTATCCTACTATCACATGGAGGGCCAGTTTAGACAAAGGGGCAGCTCTTCTTGCATAGTTACCAGCCACAAGTACTATCACTAGTGGAAATACAGTCATCTCATATAAGCTTCTTTACACATTGTCACAATATTCAAACTCGGGTCAGGACCAGTAAAACAAAGAAAGTTTGTGAAAGAGGTGATCCTATCAGAAAAGGATGCTTTAAAGGCATAGTCCACCTTTATGCAAAAAAAATAATAAATGTTCCCACAATAATATATTTAAAACATGTGCATTTATTACATTTTTGCAGAGCATTGAAATGGCGATCAGTGTTAATGTAACACTAATATTGGAAATACCTGGACCTTGTTTCTTAATGCCCAACTCTGGGGCCGGGGCTCTCCCACCCCCAGCATGTATCTTATGTTTTCTTTTTATATACCTTTCCAGATTACGGTTATGGTATGGGCAGGGTCATATTACTCTTCCTCTCTAGAGATGGATGGTGCTCATTATGCTGGGAAGGTGCAGCGCCTTGGTAATACCCCCTCAGGGGTGGGACCCATGATGCCCTGCATTCACAGTATGTCTTCACTCTGGGCTGAATAATGCTGGCTATCCTTCAACCTGGAAGAATGACTTCTAGTGATGCAATTGAATTACTGTAGGGACAGCACCCAAGATAGTCGACTTTTTTTAATTCTAACTATGGCTGGGCACCATCTATAAAATAATGACCGGTGTTTTTTTCCAGCTGCATTCACCATACTGGCTGCTTCTCAGGACAAATACAAGGTGTCGTATATGCACTCTTAAGACCTTGGCTGAGTCCAACTCCAATTTTCCACTGGCTGTACCTGTCCAGTCAACCCTTATGGATTCCATGGGGCTGTACATCTTGGATGGTGTATGCTTGGCAGAAAGGATAAGTGCACCATAGGCGGAAATTGAACCTATCTCTGAACTCTGGGACCCACCGCACTGCAAAGGTTACATTTTTGTTAAGTTACCTTACTTTAATGATGACTGTATACCTTTTGGTGCTTCTCTGATGGGTGGGTCCTCATCATCCTTATGTTCAGTGCAGGGCTATTGGTCCTGCATTGTATGTAATGACGTCAGAATGTAACTCGCTGGCTGAAGGGCTGCATGGGAAGAGACACACAGCATGGAGGAAGCCTGCTAGAGCAAGGAATACACGTGATTTCTCTACACCTAGACTTAACAAGCATTTGACCCTTGTAGTGCAGGCGACGCCACTGCAAAGGTATTTTTTGTAATTCCTCGAGTTCAGCTTTAAACTGTGCTAATAATTCCCTATTAGAGAGCCAGCATTTTAAGTATAGATCAGCTTTTACTTAACCGTATGCCACTTGTAAAGGGCAATAGCTTGTGATGACTGGCATGATTAGGGGCTAGCAGACTAATAACAAGTGCTTATGAGGATTGGAGTTCAGGTTATAGGTCGGCTTTAAGTTGACCTCATTTAGTGGGAAAGAGGGGTCTAGGCTGGTTAGAGAGGTAATCCCACTGAGCTCAGATTTTTCATATTCCCCCTTTTTGCTTTGTTTTGCAGAGTACAGGCCATTGCCATCCCCAACACGCTCATCCCTCCGTTCCCCAGGCCCCACTTCTCGTGTTAAAGAAGGGCACCGGGTCACCTTTGCTGAGTCCACAATGTCTGAGTTTTTTCCAAAGCAAGAGGATACTTCTACGCCTATGAAAAATGAGGAGGATATCAGCGCCACAAAAAATCCTATTTTTAAATACCCAGATAAATTGGGGACAGCGTTTAGCTACAAGAATACCTATCTCACATCTACACCAGTAAGGAAAGATGCTGCGGGCAGCGAGAGGATGAGGGCGAGCACCCTGGATGGGGATGAAAGGATTAGGCTTGGTGACATTAATGACATCGGGCAAGGCTCCGAAACAAGAGAGCGTCTCAGACCCTCCTATAATGGCGAGGAGTCCAGCAGAGAGAGGCTACTGAGGCTCAGTTCAGGTATCACACTGTCAAATATATATACATATACAGTATTAATTGTGTGCCCCATACAGACAATTACTTTTGGTATTCTGGTTTTGATTTTCACTAAGGACAGTATCTTTCACTATCTAGTGTACTGTATCCAGGGAACATCACAAAGCTATGCTAATCTAACTTCTTACCTCTGCTTGTTCTTTCCCTTTGCTTTCAGAACTATCATCACAAGCCCAGGCCAGGGTGTAAACACTGATTTGTTTACAGTCAGCCTGTCAGCAGTCTGCACTGTATAGTTAACAGCAGTATACTTCTGAATAGAACTAAGAATAAGAAGGGAACCTTCTGGATGTGCATTTTCTTTTCCACAATTAGCTGTCTGGAATCCCTTGAGATAGGGCTTTTGGACAGGGCTTAGATAAACTTATCAGACTCCCGTAGTGAGAGAAATATGGAGTTTACAGTTGATAAACTCCTTCTAAAAATGCTTGATGCCTGGCTGTCACTGGCTTCAATACATTAAGTCATGAACAAAGTCAGAACTCTTGATCTTCATACTTGTTAGGGGTCAGTGAACTAAAAAGACCCGAATGCCCTGGATTAGCATGACAACCGGGCAACTAGCATTTTCACAAGCAGATGTTTGTAATAGCAGCATCCATCTTTGCTTAGTATGGGTTTCATTTAAGCTGGGGTTGTCTCCTTCTAGCCATGATCTCTTCCTCTGTTTTTATATTGGTGCAGTATAGAAAGCATTGTCATTGTGGTTCCCCCGCACTGCAACGCTTAAAAAAGAACTATGGGGTAACTTTTTTTTATCCCATAATTCTTTAGGGTTATAGGAGGACATATACTAACCTCCTCCCGTGACCCTAAGCTCAATATATAGCGGGCTATTGCCGGTTATATACCGAGAGCACCGAAGCAGGGATGGATCCTGACAATACTGTTAAAATCCGGCTAGCTGATTGACAGCGGGCTCTGCCTATATAGAGGCAGAGCCAGCTGTGCCCGCCCCCTCCCTATCCATTCCTCCAGTCAGCGCTGAAGGAGGGAATCCCTGAGGGGAGCAGTGACTGACAGTTCTATAGAGCCGACGTGTGACAGTTTCAACGTGTGAGAGTGTAAATCACTCACGTCATAGTTCTCCTTTAAATGCCGCTTTTACCTGCAGGCTTCCTCCTTTGTATACATCCATTCCACTGAAGCTGCTTCTCTTCACTGCGCCGTCAATCACAGCTCTCTGACATCATCACATACAAAGCCAGAACAGCAATCTTGCATTGTAAGTGAGGACACGAAGGGCTCACCTACACCCAGAGCATCAGGGAAGAAGAGAGCAACGGCTAGGCAAAAACATTTAACCCTTGCAGCGTGTGGGGGGGGGAGAGCCCCACTGGAAGGGTAATAGCTGCCATACATGGCTTGATTTCAAACAGTTGATTCCATCCATGCTCTACAGTGCCGGCTATTGTGGCTGCCTTATTGTTACATTTTCCTTAGAGTTCAACTTTCTGTCTCGGTAACAATGGTCACCATGGCAAATAGAGTGAATCTTACCAGTATGGACATAGACAGCTATACAAACGTGACTAAAGTGCTGACCTTACTATATCCAAAACCTAAAAAGAAAAACAAATAGGTATGTATAAGACACAGTTGCTAAATGTGTATATCCTGTATTTTTCTAGATCTTTATATGGCAACACATCTGACTGACCCTCCTGCGTCCTCGAGTTCGCTCTCTGCTCTTAGAAAAGGCTTCAGTGACATCTCAAAGACCTACACGTTGCCTTCGAAACCCACTCTCACAAACGCCCACCTGGCTGCAAAAACGACAGAATTGGGCAGAGATTACAAGAGCGCATGGTGTCCAGAGAAAACGGTTACTTTAAACTCGACTCCAATGGGAATGAAAAGATCCAGCAGCCTGAACTCCCTGTTATCCTCAAAACCTTCCGATCTCTATTCAGACCAGCATGTAAGTCCACAACCAAACCGCATGATTTGTTTGATATGGTAGAATTCCTAAAGCAGACCATTGGTTGGCAGCAATGTGTAAGACAATTGCAATGTCATAGAGCAGAATAGAATAACGTAGAAAAAACGCTTTTTTTTGTTTTGTTTTTGTTAATATTGGAGTGGCCAAGCATTGGTGTATGTAGGGCGGGCGTAGGATGGACTCCACCACAGGTATGGGCAGTTGCATGGTGCCATTGGAGTGCAGGCACAAGCGGGTGGTTTAATATCGCCTGATGGAACCTGCACTGGAGTGTATTTACAATTGCCCATTTGTTGCACCTGCATTGCATTGCCCGCATAATGTCTGGAACAAATGGACCCATATAAAGAGCTTTCCGGTTCAAGTTGAAGCAATGTAATTGTATATAAACTAAGATATAATCTCACCAACCAGCATCTGCTGGGTCTTTCCCAGGCATCCTTACAACCAGATCTTTATTAAACGCTCTCATAAGGCAATTTGTGTAAGGTGTCCAAGCTACTTCAACTGCAGCCTCTCCAATTCAATCAGGGTCTGCCAAACTTCTTTTTAATTTAGATGGGTCCTATGGAGAAATCTTATGTTTACTGCTTATCTGCAATCTTGCTCTTTTAGTCATCACCCATATCTTGTAGTCTTATCTTTAGTCCCATATCTCATAGTCCTATCTTTAGTCCCATATCTCATAGTCCTATCTTTAGTCCCATATCTCATAGTCCTATCTTGTGAAGGAAATGTATTGCTCTATGAGCAAAGTGCATAAAAGAGACTTCCTCTCCTTGGCCAGCTTTAGGCTCCTTAGGATCTCTTTTACCTCAATGGTATGGCAAGGGTGACAGCTCTGAGGCTGCACTTGACCTGCTGTGCATTATATTGGAAGGATGCGCAATGTCCTATTGGAGATGTGTAAAAGCCTCCCTTGTGTAGACATCCGCATGTCCTGAGACTTCTGCTGGACGCTGCCATCTTGGATGTAATGTCATCAGCCCCGGCAAGTGGCGCTTACGCTTTTTTTTGTTTTGTTTTTGTTAATATTGGAGTGGCCAAGCATTGGTGTATGTAGGGCGGGCGTAGGATGGACTCCACCACAGGTATGGGCAGTTGCATGGTGCCATTGGAGTGCAGGCACAAGCGGGTGGTTTAATATCGCCTGATGGAACCTGCACTGGAGTGTATTTACAATTGCCCATTTGTTGCACCTGCATTGCATTGCCCGCATAATGTCTGGAACAAATGGACCCATATAAAGAGCTTTCCGGTTCAAGTTGAAGCAATGTAATTGTATATAAACTAAGATATAATCTCACCAACCAGCATCTGCTGGGTCTTTCCCAGGCATCCTTACAACCAGATCTTTATTAAACGCTCTCATAAGGCAATTTGTGTAAGGTGTCCAAGCTACTTCAACTGCAGCCTCTCCAATTCAATCAGGGTCTGCCAAACTTCTTTTTAATTTAGATGGGTCCTATGGAGAAATCTTATGTTTACTGCTTATCTGCAATCTTGCTCTTTTAGTCATCACCCATATCTTGTAGTCTTATCTTTAGTCCCATATCTCATAGTCCTATCTTTAGTCCCATATCTCATAGTCCTATCTTTAGTCCCATATCTCATAGTCCTATCTTTAGTCCCATATCTCATAGTCCTATCTTTAGTCCCATATCTCATAGTCCTATCTTGTGAAGGAAATGTATTGCTCTATGAGCAAAGTGCATAAAAGAGACTTCCTCTCCTTGGCCAGCTTTAGGCTCCTTAGGATCTCTTTTACCTCAATGGTATGGCAAGGGTGACAGCTCTGAGGCTGCACTTGACCTGCTGTGCATTATATTGGAAGGATGCGCAATGTCCTATTGGAGATGTGTAAAAGCCTCCCTTGTGTAGACATCCGCATGTCCTGAGACTTCTGCTGGACGCTGCCATCTTGGATGTAATGTCATCAGCCCCGGCAAGTGGCGCTGCCTTTTGCTCCTTCCCTGGCAACTACTTAAAATGTTATGAAGGGAGGGTTGGAGGAGCTGGCCCAGCATCCAGTAATTAGATACTCTGAGAAGAATAGTGGGCTGTGACTAGAGCTGCAGCTAACGATTATTTTCAAAATCGATTAGTTGGCCGATTATTAAGTTCGATTAATCGGTTAATCGGATAAACAATAAAATACATTTTAAAACATGGCTCCAGTGATGGGACTACTAGTTTGTATTGAGATTGCAGTCCATCACAGGAGCAAGCTTCGAGTGGTGGAAGTAAAAAAAGAAAACAGTGTGGTGTGCAATATAGTGAAATGGAAAGTGTAAAATTATACAGCAATGAATGCAGAATGGCACCGGCTATAGAGGACTACAAATCCCAGCTATAATACATTATACAGCACAATGCAGAATACCACCAGCTATAGAGGAATACAACAAATCCCAGCAATAGTACATTATAGCTGGTGGTATTCTGCATTGCGCTGTATAATGTACTGTTGCTGGGTTTTGTAGTCCTCTATAGCTGGTGGTATTCGGCATTGCACCACTGTATAATGTACTATTGCTGGGATTTGTTGTACTCCTCTATAGCTGGTGGAATTCCGCATGACGCTGTATAATGTATTATTGCTGGGATTTGTAGTCCTCTACACAGCGCAGTGCAGAATATCACCAACTATAGAAGAGTACAACAAATCCCAGCAATACATTATACATACAGTGTATGATGTATTGCTGGGATTTGTATTCCTATGTATAATATACAGCACAATGTACCATCAGCTATAGAGGACTACAAATCCCAGCAATACATTATAGAGCACCATGTGTGGGAAAGTGCAGGCTTACCTGAGCAGTCTTCCAGCAACTTGCTTCTGAGATAGGTGAGTCGTGTAAAGCGTGGATGCGGGTCTGGCAGCGGTGAGCGTGATTTGGGGAGGAGGTGCAGCGTGTGTGGAGCCGTGAACAGGGCCAACTGATCGGAAGCCGATTAATCGATTATTGAAAAAGTTGACAACTTTTTCAATAATCGATTATAATCGATTATGTCGATTAGTTGTTGCAGCCCTAGCTGTGACGTGCAAAGAGTGAGGGGGGCTACGGAACTGACTCTGCTTGCAGAAGTCATATTTTCTACCAAATTCAAATGCACATTGCAAGTGAATAAAAAATCATTTGTGGAAAGTAAAATGACTGCGAGTAAACATTTGAGATACTTGATTTTTCTGAGCTTGTAGATGCAATGTTGTAAGTTGGTGGCCGGGTCTCTTTAATGATACCATGTTTTGTCATTTTCAGAGAGAAGATTTTCTGAGTGGGAGTGAGCTGAAGAGGGAGAGCTCACCAAGTAGAAGCGAGACCTCTTCCATCTCAGATGTTCTCCAGCAGCTTATGGACTTAGTGGACCGGTACTGGAATGGCTCGGGGTCTCTCCTTCATAATCAGAGGTTTCTAGGTGAGTATCTAGAACTATTAAGTATTTAAAGGACGGATGAGGGAGTTCTAGAACACGCAAGAAAACCTCTGTTCTGGACATTTCTCTGAAAATCAAGTGAACAGCGCACTGCAGCGCCCATATGTACCCAAATATATACAACTGCTTGTTCACCAAAAACAGATGAAAGCAATATTCACAATGTAGCATTTAGAGCAGGGTTCTCAAACCTTCCGGCCCTCCAGCTGTGGTGGAAATACAAATCCCATGAGGCATTGCAAGATTCTCACAGCCACAGACATGACTCCCGAAGAGAGATGCATCATGGGATTTGTAGTTTCACCACAGCTGGAGGGCCAGAGGTTTGAGACCCCTGATTTAGAGGAAACCTGTACTGAAAAGTACAGTAGTTGCCATTGCGGCCCTCTCCTTCTACAAATGGTAGTCACCTGGCTGTCATGCTGATTGTGCACTTTTAATACTTTCTGAGGCAATAACCTCAACCTCAAGCTCAAGTATGCTATTCGGTAGTTCTGACCTGCCATTGACTTGATCATTCTCGGTCAGTGACTTGGAAAGTAATGGAGACCACCAGGGGGTATTCTTAAAAAATCAGCATATGTAGAGCCTTTATTTCATTCAGTGCAGGACTCTTTTGAATGGTTTTCCATCTAGTGCACACTCTGAGGTTTAAGCTCTTAAGGAACCTATGGGGGGGGGGGGGCCCTTAGAAAGTTGCCATTGTTTGAAAATGCTAGTTGTCTGGCTGTCATACTGATCCAATATTTTTCTAAGAGCAAAGAAAGAACTCGAGCCTAGAACACAAGAACAAGTTTTTCTCAGGCTCCAAAAGTTACCTCCTCTCTGAAGTAATCCCTTTTCTGCCATAAGATGTCCCAGACTTCCAGATTAAATCACCCTAAATGTCATTTAATCCAGAAGGCCGAGGACATACAGTGAGTGCAGGGCATCATTGGGGAAGAGGGTCAGAGTCTGGATTTGGATTTTAAGGCCACATACAGCAGTTTGTATATTCAGATGTTCAGCTAAGGCAGTCTCTTTTTGCATCATTCAGTTCCTTTATGGCAAAGCGCAATGTGCACCTTTATAGTGTGTGTGTGTGTGTGTGTGTGTGTGTGTGTGACTGCTGCCCAGTGCTGAGATTTAGGTTGCTACATTAGATTCTTCTCTGCAGTTCCTAATTAAATGTCTAATAATGTGATGCTTGCTGCAGACTGGCTTCAGAAACAATACTGGTACTCTTCAATCAAACATGCAATGATGACTTTCATATTTCAGGCATTTGAACATGACAAGTGATTTTTTTTAAAACAATAATTTAATTGCTGTCGGCTAACATGGTGTTTACTTCTTGCCAGTTCCTGCTCGAGAGCTGCTTACCAAGCTGATGACCTCAGACTCAGCCAAACAGATATCTCCTATGGGCGATCAGCTGCGAGGATCCAGGAACAGCTATGGACCGCTTGAGGATGGTGACAGTATGGTATGCCATCTGTGTTGCTCACAGAGTTTCTAAAGCACCAACGTTCATGGAAAAAGTCAACTGTAAACAGAGAATATATTTGCTATTCTTCTAAATAAAATAAAAAAGTGATACAGCCGTAAAGATTCTCTTCAGTGGTTTGGCCGGACCAGGAGACAGACTCATGTCAACGGGACACCAATAGACACGGCGACCCAAGACTGGACAGGGAAAGAAGAAATGCCTTCTGGTTTGCTCCGTCTCTGTAGTACACCTGCCCTGTCCCCTAAGCTAAGTGCAAATGGTAAGCCAACACTTTTTGTTTTAAGCTTTTAGATAGAAAAACGTTTCTAACCCTTCCCTACTTTGTGTCCCTCCTGAGTAGATTTCCCTTTGCTGTTCCAGAGACACAACAGGAAGTGAGTGCAAATCTCCCTAAAGAGGATAACGTTTAAAAATAAAAGTCTTCCCTAAGAACATATACAAAAAAAAAAAAGTTTGCCCATTAGTTTTGTAGCTACTTTGAAACTGGCTTAGAGCTAAACTTTTGGATAAGGAAAAATTTTCTAAATCCAAGAGTCATGTGTATTCTTACTTGAATCTTGGTGAGCTCTGTGTATTTCTTCCAGATCTGTGCAAGAAACTTGAAGCTTCCTGTAATGAAGACCAGTCACTGCTGCTCTCTTATTGTGCGGGGTCACTGGTCTTGACTCCGCCCCCTCCTGTAGTTTTCTGCAGTGGGTGGGGGCTGCTGGGTCCCTCCCATAGCGATATTCTCTGCAGCAGCACAGTGGGGATGTCACTGATAGTCTTACATTGTAAGTGAGGATGCCTGCTCACAAGCAGGAATGTCAGAAAGAAGAAGGGAGTGCTGACTGCTGGGGGAGCGAGTGATAAGGCAGGTAAAACTAACTGCTTTGTATTGATACCCCGGGAAGAAACTAGCATTTATCCCTTGCAGTGTTGAAGGAGCCCCACTGAAAGGGTGCCATACACAGGTTGATGTTCTTTTGTTCAAGCCATGGCTCTCTACTGCTGGCTATTGTATATAGGCAGCTGCAGCATCCCGAGCAAAAGATAGCATTTAACCCTTGCAGTGCAGGGGGAGCCCCATCACAAAATCATTTTAAAATTCAGCATTCAAGTTTAAAATGACTAAAAGGTTTGACAGATGTTTTATTTTACACAGCGAGTATTCTGTGTTTCTTACAATCTCAGGAATCGGGGAAACTGAAGCTGGTAAAAGTTATGGAGGAGAATCATTTTTTACGGAGCAAAGTCTATAAACTGGAGAACCAAGCAGCCCGCAAGGGAGGAGGAGATCTGCTGCCGTCACAAGGTAGTCCAAGCTACTGAATGGCCCTGTGCTCGGAGATCCCTACAATTAACCTGGCCAAATTAAAGTGGGCCTAGCATTACCCTTCATTGAATCAATAGGACACCAAATCACATTATTATAGAGGAACTGAGCGACACTTTTTCCTGCCTTGAGTAAGAAAGAACACAAGCTGATCTAACCTTAGGAAGCCTAAGTCACATGGCTTCTGGCTACCAATCATTACAGCAACTTTATCATTTTTGGTCAGCACCGAGATAAGAGGATTAAAAGGATGCAGTTACGAACATATATAATTACAAGCTACAGCAAACAAGCTTTTAAAACATTAATAGGATTGCCTCCCTTTTACATAGCTAAGAAACATTAAGGAGACCCTGTCGCCAGACCATTTATTTCAATGGTCCTTTGTGTAGACATCCAAACCCCAGAGACTGCTGCTGGGTGCCGCCATCTTGGATGTGATGCCTCAGCAGACTCAAAGCTGTCACTCAAGTGACACTCTAGTGTTCCCTTTCTCTTCTTCCTGCAAGGAGGGAGGGGGCTGTGCTTGGGAATAGACTCTTGCTGGATTAGTCAAATTTTATAGCAAGCTCAAATGCACATTGCATGTGAATAAAAATAGTTTATGGAACAGAAAACCACTAAAAAAATACTTGATTTACGGATCTTTCATTCGTTTGCCTTTACGGGCCGAAGCCAGGGGTAACCGGATGTAAAATAGACGCCAATCCATTTAGATCCAGCTGCCCATACACTAACATCAGGCTTCCGATTAGGTCTGCCTGAAAACATGACAGGTGGACCTGATCGGAAAGCACTTGTGAAAGAGGCCTTAGGCTAAAAACCAGTAAACTGTGTAATATACTACAGTATGTAATACAATTGTAGTCTGGTCCACAGAAGACTAAAGGCTATGCAATCATGTGAAGGATAATGGGGCTTGTAGTAAGCAATCACCATTTTGCTTTGTTTCAGATGACCTGCGGCAGAAGTACGAGCAGTTAAGCCTCCAGGTGGAGTCACTACAGCAGCAACTGAGCAAGACCAATAAATTGCAGGAGACCGTGAACCTGCTACACAACAGTCAAAGGTAATTGCCATTTTAGATCAGATTTCATGTAAAGCAGCTTTCAATAGCCCTGTGCACACCAGAGCTCTGCGCCTATGACACTGTGCTGAGTCACACATGGTGACAACAGTTTGCTAATGAAGACACAGCAATGGTAGTGGCTTCAGGCCTGCACAGGATGGATGTAAGACTGTCAGGTAGTAGCCATGAATATTTAGTTGTTTGATTAAATATTAACCATGCTGAATTGAAGCATATAGCGCTTCTCTACAAATCGACCCCTGTGGGTACGATCATGGGGCCCTGAATTTTAAGCAAGCGTTTGAAATCTTTTACGGATGGTATTTACCTCTAAAAGCCTCCCGTGTGGACATCCAAAATCCTCAAGACTGCTGCTGGGTGCCGCCATCTTAGGTGTGATGTCAGCAACCCAGTGTTCGCCTTCTCCTTGCGCAGCAGCTACATAAAAGGTTATGTGAGAAGGAGCATAGGAGCTGGGCCAGCACAATCCG